AAAATGCTTGTTGGCGTCGTGCATATCGGTTGATGTTCCATTTAGCTGGACCGAAATTATTTTTGCACCTAATGGTTTGAATCATTCAGATATATGAATCAGTTGGAATCTACAGGATGCCGTCAAGTACGTTTCCCTCGATATGTGAATCGAGAATTACACGCATATAATCATAGATTCAGTTTTACTGGCTTTATTAGCTATGGTACATTGAGCTTGTATTTCGTTCATTTCGCGGGTATTCTTTTTCAGGACATCGATATATTTTTATCGCGCCCCAGGGGGATATTCTTTTGGAACGGAGTGATTTTTTTCTAGAAGGTACTACTGCTTCCAGTACGATTCACTATGGATGATCCAATTTCCCTTGAGAATGATGTTCCTCGAGTTGCGTTGCCTCCGTGTCTGCGTAGTGGCCAGAGGCAGGTCCACTAACTCATCGCAAAATATTCTTACAAGCCGCCTCAGCCCATCATATGCCTTTTTTCCTTTTTAGATATGGCCCGTCCAAACGTGACGAATTACGGGATATTCGTATTGCTTGTAGCATAGGCATATCATCTTGAAGTATTTGCTGTTGATACAGATGTGTATGCTGGATGAAGTTGTGAGCATATCCATCAAGAATATGTATAAATTCAGCATTAGAGAAAGACGCGTATTTACATTGAAATGCTACAGTATATTTCGTTTACGGTTATGTTACTGTTAAGAACAATATTATGACGCCTTAGTTTCTCTGGCGATAAATATAATAAGAAGGCTGCATAACAGATCCTTATACTGTGTTACGTAACGCTGTCGGTACCATCATCGTATCCGTACTATCTATCAATTGTACATTCGAGCTATATGTGAAATAAAAAGGAAGCTACCGTTGTTTTTTCTTTTCATTCAGCTGCAGCAAAAACATAGATTATTTGTTCTTTTTAAAAAGCTACCGTTTCGCACGCTAAATACTTCGAACATTCCATCAATTTAGAGATTTTTTTAATTAAAGTAAGCTTATCAAACCTAAACGCCGCCTTCGATAACCGCAGCTACAGATTTGTTATTTGCGTGTCCTTCAAGGGATAACCACTAAAACTTATGATAGTAAGGACCTCTAGGTTTACGAAAACTTATGTAACAACAGTAATACGAAAAAAGGTATTACAGCCAGCGTAGTAGGCTAGATAGTTTATGTTAGGTGTTAACTTTTGTGTATAAAATATTTGCGATAGCAGTGAGTGATCGTTATTTGTGTTACCAGAAATGTCCAAAACTTGTTTACTATCATTTCCTGAAGTTGCTATTTAAAATGGCTGTCCTCAGAACGCAAGTAAAACGGAGAAAGAAATCTGACTCGACTATAGCAAAAAGCCATATTTAATCAATTTACTGAGACGGTCCAATATATTAGCAAAGTTAATCATGGATGACTGTGCTCTTTGAAATGGAAGCGAGAGAACAATCTTTTTCGGTTTACTGAGTTTTTTTGGGCAAGGTCTGTTCAATAATGCGAAGGGTTTGGTCGATTCGTTCGAGTGAGATTTATTCCCAATTTCAGCTCGAATCAATGAAAATTAACAATAGAACAAACCCATTCAACTGCCTAGCTTCGACTTCACCCGAACGAGTGAGAAGCCGACAAACCTAACTTGGCTTAGAAGAGTAGACTTCCCTGCCTTGATTGATTGTTATTCTCTGTTTCCTGTATTCGGGATCCGTTTTTGTCTATCGCTTTCTTACGATAACTATGGGCAACTTGTTTACCTTTCTTTCCCGTCTTAGTGCTCACTCCTCGGGATCATAAAGACGTGTACTTGTACTAACAAAGCTTCACTCCGATTAAAAAAAGTATTCTATAAAGTATAATTATATTAAAGCGCAAGACTTACCGATTACCGATTAGATTACCGATTGATCTAGTAGGATGCAGCTTATCTAGCGGTATGTAATCTTGACTGGAACAATTTTTTGTCGCGCTAGAAAGCACTTCGTTTCCATACATGATATCTATTGTGTAGGCATTGATTAGAAAATTGCCAAAGGTCTGTTTACAAATTTCTTTAGCATGCATCTAGAGTTTTTCTATACAGATAGTCCTGTTAGAAGTCTATTTGCTGGGCAGACCATTTCGAGTTTATTATAAGAAAGTAAATATAGTGAAATAAACTTCTATTGAAACCTTCGGTGTCTCATGGTTACACGAAAAACGTCTCATGTTTATAAATTAAAAAACGCTACTTACTCGAGTCCGTTCGATCAAAGGATTAACTTTTTAGCAGCGTCTGTAAATTCCAATGTGCTTACTCTGGTTAACTATACTTATTGACGAATTCATCGATAATTACCTCTGCTTGCTGGTCAGGACATTCTAAAACTAAACCAATACAATTTGGAAACATAGAAACCTAATTCCACGTTAAATCTTAGATAAAAATGATCCATTCAAGCTATTGGAATTGTCTATCTGAAGATCAAGGAAAAGGTAATTTTTCTCGCCTTATCGTTTTCAATAGAGTCCAACGTCCTTTCTATGAACGAAGTACGTACGGGCTGGTTTACTCTGGACAACCCACACGGGCGTAGCGCCGCTCTCTGTTATCCAAAGAGGCTAACATTGCTATGTTGGTTTGCCACGAGCGTCTGTTTGCCCAGCAACTCCTAGTGATTTAAGTGCATTGCCCTCGTCCTCTGGCCGCCGCCGCCGCCGCCGTCGCCAAGGCTGATGGCCAAGTTTCCCTTCGGACGGGTCGACATCCAATAAGGCTTTGAGCTACACTTTGCCCTAATGCTGCTACAATGCACAGCACGGGCCACTGGTTAGAAAATTCAAGAACAACGAGGATTCAATATCAGATCCTCCGAAGTAGTTACTTAGTGAACACACAGCACTCATCTGCGGGCTGAAGAGCTCGAGGACGCCTTTTACTAAATAGTTTAGGAAAATGAGTTGTTTATCCGCCAAGAACTTTGTATTTGGATGAGCACCGTAGAGTCTCGGACTGCCTGTGACAACTCTAAGGTGAGTTCCCACAATCCGGTGAAATTGATTTATTATAACATATATACCTCAGAATTTGAGGGGGCTCCGAAGGCTAGTAATGGTCTGCATAACTATGTGTTAACTGTTAGCTATAACTGTTACATGAACAATTTGAAGGAATCGATGGTAAACTGATAATTCATAAAATAAATGCCAACATGTAAAGCAGATGTTACAGCTAGTTTTCAGAGATACTGTACTCAGTGAAAGACAAGGTTGGTGCTTATTATCTTTTATGCTAGTAAAAAAGAAGCAGGATTGACTTTCTAAACGGTACAAATTTGACAAAATGTTCTTGTTCTTATACAAATATTCAACTTGAGGCCCTATAATAGCATCGTACAATTTCTATTTTACTTGGATTAATATGAATTTAATGAAAATATACTTGACAGGGCGTACGTGCTAACTTTACCATTAAAGATACAGGATGTTCTAAGGGCTATGCAACATAAACAATCTTACGAATAATAACGTAACGTTCAACGGAAATTACCTTACTACATTCATTTTCAAATATCTTGGATATACAAGTTTTTTTGTGTATTTATTCAGAAGCAATCGAGCGTTTTCTCTAATCAATAAAAGAAATTCATAAAACAAGTTTAGATATTACTAAACTAGTGGTATGATGTTACCATTAAAACTTACTTATTTACCCGACTTTAACTTCGTGACAACGATATAATGCAAGATATGACATGCTAAATAATATTTTGCGCAATAGCACTTCTAGTAACTTCGTGAAGTTTCAGTTCAGTGACGTGGCTTTTCTCCACAGAGGACGTGATGACCTAACTGGAGTTCTATTCGAGACTCGAATTCCGCCGATCAGATATAGATACTATCCAATTTCTATATGTATACATATATAGAATAAAACTGTTCGTTTATAATGCCTTTTCTAATGTGGGTGTTCCCTGCCAATTGTTGTGGCTCCGACGGCTGCAACGTACAAATGCTGTAAGACATCAGTTGGTACGTAAGGGTCGCGAACGGATGATAACGTTAAAGTCAACAATATTAGCTACTAAAACGCTCTGATCAATTTGACAACGACATGCCTTTGTTTTGCAATATTGTTAGCTACTGCTGCTTCTACGTCACCAGTTCGCATCGGTATCGTTCACTAGCTGGCCTCCGGCGGATAGCCAGATCAAGCAAAAGTCTTCCTTTCTTCTCTGCCCTCGTTGCCGTTCAAGGCCAGGCATGTCAGCTTCCATCTTACGCCACACGAAGCCTAATAGAAAGACAGCGAGACTAACGCAACGGCAGAACCAGCATCAAGGGCAGAAGCTCTAAGTTAATATCCACCGTATGGAATGCCAGACACTTTTCGGCCAGCCTAAAACGATCTATAGACAGCTTATCCCCTCATAGGCCCGTCCCGTTGACTATTACTCTCTGTCTTTATCTGTTTGTGTAACAATATTTTATCCTAGCTAGGGAGGAAAAGATGGAACGGATAGGACCGAGTCGGTCCGGTATTTAGCTTGCCATTGACTCCTCCTCTGTTGTAGAAGGCTACGATCTACGCTACGTTCGACTAACACAAGCTTACATACAAGCAGAGCACTATTTTTAGCTAGGCCAGTCGCGCAGTAACGGCCTGCTAGACGCATAGACCAAAAAGAGGTGCATCTGCTAATAGCTGCAACGCTGTAGAATGTAACTGGTCAGCAGCGTTGGTACATTACATGTTACATACGCTGATAAGAGATTTGAGGAAAAAAGATTATTGAAACTGTTTCCCAGTGCCGAGTGACAGCCAAGCAGATAGGCAGCTAAAGCTGGTGAGGATTGGCAAAAGCAAATACTACGTGTGTCTGCAAAGCGATAAGCAAGTTTTTATGGATTAATACGATAAGCGACATAAAATACGAAGACTAGTAGACTCACACAATCCTATGAGCTAACGGCTACAGTGGCTTGAAGAGATACAAAAACAGTCCCATCTATATACCTCAACTATGTTTTAGCTACTTTTCTACAAAACGTATTGATACGTTCTCTTATTTCTACCGTAACACATCTTAGTAACGTGCTTTATACTATCAATATAATAACTATCATATAATAGTAATAATTGCAAAGATAAACTCTGAAAAATCTAAGTGTTTGTATTTATCAAACAAGTATATGTACTTAGTTGACAGACTGTGTACCAGATTAGACTGCTGCAGAAGAATACTTCATGGTTCGAATTGGAACCTCAATATAATAACTGTATCATTATTTTGACCCGATTCGCGTGCCGATAAAAACAGCTATAAAGTGCAAACTGTCGTACATATTACACCGTCGCCTTAGATATAGGCGTGAAAAAAAATTGGGAAGACGCCTGTGAGGTACAATAGACTATGAGGCTACAAAAGAGATCTTGTACAGCAGACCCGATGACGCTGTTGCAAAGGCAGGAGTGGACGCGTGCATACACGTGTGAGCGATAATATATGTGCGAATGAAAAAATGGTATATAGTTAAATACACGCAGCAGGACCCGAACGAGTGGAACACGCTTCTGTCCAATGGCGATTGTATCTGAGGCGTCATGTGTAGCGTTATCGATTGAACAGCCGTCAAGTAGTCATCTCTGAAAACATTATTACGACATATATAGAGAAGGTCGTGGTTCAGATCGAAACGCTTGCGTGTGGTAAGCGCATAGCGTACATCTAGTAGATGTACGAGGCTCTGATATGGATGATAGAGTCCAGGGTAAATTTAATCTATCTCCATGCGAGTACCGTTGCGGTCGAATGTGAGTACAAAAAGGTTACTTAACATAGAAATTGAAATATCCACCCCATTGCGGGTGGATGCGGTGCCCACATATAAGAGCAACTGGCTATCAGTTGGTTGAAATACTTTATGACCTGCTGCCGTTAATTTAGTAAAGTATTTTCGGTCAGCTGCAGCGCACCTTTATTAATTAAACGGTCATATTAAGATGTTAAAGTATTACATTGGGTGTCGGTAATTCAGTGATAGATCACTATATTACAGTGTTAACGCCTGTCTATCTCGAAACATAGCCAGGCGACCTTATTGTTGTTTTAGCATATCTGTGCGATTGACGTTTTCGCTAACGTTCCACTTCCTTGACAACCGAAACGCCATTTTCTGTCCGCTCCACGCTCGAAGCAATAGCAAGACTCAAAGCATTTCTGGGTATGAGCCGTTTTCATGAACCATTTCATAAGCAAGATCTGGTTTGCATAAGGAAGTAATTTGAAGGTATGTAAAAAGCCTGGACTGAAACGCATACATTGGACAGATATATATACGTTGAAATATGTCATACGTGAGTGTCCGCTAGTCACGCGTTGTTGGATCGTGGATCTATTAGGATCAGCGAATGACGCGAGAGGCAGATGTACCGACTGAATAGCGACTGCTCTGTGAGGTGAGGGGTTTAAACAAAAGCTAGCAGGGAAGCGTAAGGTGCGATCACTGAAGATTTACTAACGGACTGTCTAGCTGAGCGAATGAGACCATTGTACATCTGTGCTAAATGAAGATATGTTGAGTATTCAATGCATCCGTAATTAGTGTTTCGAGCACTGCAGCCGGACGTAAATGAGCGTAATGCGTCTACGTAGGCTTTGAATGGCGAATATTTATCACGTGTGCGCGAACGGACACAGATGACCTGAAGCGTAAGGATATCACCAATCCCTGGCTAGTTCGTGTGTGCCAGTTTTGCTATATGAACGCCTGGATGTCTCTGTTTAGCTGATGCAGCCCTTCGAGTTTCCCTAGAGGAAGAGGGAAAAAAGCATGTGGAGTCCTGGTAAATACTTTAGAAAGATCGATCGGCTTCTCTGCAAAAAAACTTTGTAGTGAGTTTTTTTTTTGAAAAACGTTCTATGGCTGTAAAACGAAATATGCTGATCTTAAGGTAACTTGATGATATCGACTTTGTACGTATATTTCACGTGCGCTGGATGCCTGGGGTACCAATGTCGATAGTGCAGCCGTCAGTCTACTCTGTAGAGATAGATATTTTCCTAGACCTTACGCTAAAACAATATAATTTTAGTAGGAACGTATCTATGGTCGGTTAGGCGATGTACATGGATTTGGCTACTAGAGCCAAGTTTCATGCATAATACTAACAGCAATTTGTCCTTCTATAATCGACATCCATATATATGTATATATATATATATATGTAAAGCCACAGTGTCGTGCAATTTGCTTACCGATAGTTTTGTTCCATTTTATCACAGCCAAATGAAGACGATGCTGAAGTTGAGTATTAGTAAATTCTCAATGTATTTTTACCACGCTGCTAACAAGTGCACCATTCCTGCCAAGTAAAATGACATTCTGAATTGAAGTCAACAAAGAGAAGCTCAAGAAATCGTACTAAAATGCTAGCATACTTTGCACGCGATTTAACGTTTGACGCATTATGACCTTCATTAATGATACTAGTATCGTTATCGCACAAAAGTAACTCTGAGCGAAAACTGAATCGCTTGAGCTCTCGAAAGAAACAGCTGCGCGTTGTGAGCAATCCACACCCGCGTATGTATCAAAGCGTCGACGAAGGCAGAAGAGATTCAACAAAGTTCTCAGAAATACTGTGTGTTTATTAAACTTATTTTGTCATATTACCTACGCACAGAAGGCTAGGATAACTAGAAAAAAACGAGATGCCAGTCTTTATAAACGACATATCCTATTAGTCCCTAGACCTAATTAGTCCAATTAATATTTATGCAGTTTCAACCGAAGCGCATGAATGAATATCTGATTTTATGCAGAGAATAGCTGGAAAACAAAACCGATAGGCTTGTAGGATACCTCAAAGTCGTCTGATAATGACAAATCACGCAAGTTTCGGCGTGATGAGCTTTGACAACGACGACACAACTTTACGCCTACAAGAGCCAGAACACATAGGCGATCGCAATAACGAACTTCGAAGTTTTGATCTAGCAGCAAGAAAACTAATAAAATAAGTCGACTAAAAAATCATTGCAGGGAGAGTAGAAACCTTGGCAAAGGAGGACGTCGTGTTCCGGCTGTGTCAAGTCGAAAAAACTAAAGACCCTTCTCACTGCCTACCGTATTACTTCGTCTATGCAATAAAAGATTATTCGTACGAGGAAAGGATCCCGCTTTTATGCTCATTCAAAAAGCGCTATGTGTATTACATTAAAATGCTTGACGGTGGCATGGACGGAATGTTTGGCGATGAATTTCAAAATGCTACTGCAATCAGAAATAATTTTCTGCGAAACAGCGGATCACCTGAGGCTCATAGAGAGGTTTGACGAACTACAAATTGATCAGACGTAATAAAGAAGGACTCCATTACAGTCAACAAAGCAATATGCGATTTAAAATCCCTTCTTTTAAACGTCCGCTCACTAGCAAATCTCATGCCGTCAGTTGTCTAGTTATGCTTGTGACTGCTAAGTGACCCCAAATATTATCGAGACCTCAAAGATAACTTTGGAGTTTTCTGTAAAATCGCAGTTGTAAAATCGATGGATAAGTTCTAACTTCGATTAATCAGAAGATTGCATGCGTTCAACTTTTTGGTATGAGCACATGCCTAAAGTATAGCGGTCGACCTTTTACTACATGAAACCATGAGAGGTTAATCTGTTCCTACATAAGCCTGTTGGTTTTAACACATGATTTAAGATAAACAATGACAAAGCTCGTCGCTGGCCTAGATACTCTTGCGTGGGCTAATTACGTAGTCGTTCTTGCTGGAGGTGTGAATATTTGACTTTGACATAGGTGACACTGTGGGGGCTGCTTTTTTTACAAGAGCAACAATGACTTTACCCGTCTAGGGAAGAGGCGTTTCTTAACACCTGCAATGAAACGAGACTATGGCGCTTCGTTACCGCTCCAGCGAGAGGTCGTTGTTATCGTGAATAGACACTGTCTAAGCAACGTTATACATCGGACCTCTACGCACAATCTAATGCAACTTCAATTTTTTTCTCATATTTCCTCGCCGGCGTTTCAGGACCGAAGGAGAACGATCCACGATGGAATAATCCATAATCTACTAAATACTAATATAAATCGCTTTTCTCCGTTTGTCGTGATGTAAACACGATGTATGAGCACCGTAATCTACACGTCACATTTCTACAAAAGCTTTCTATTGGAGAAAACGCATCGTTTAGTGCCAAATTATCTGCGATACACAGACACGCTTAGCGGTGCCTCGAGACTAAAGGAAGTGCTAACTCTATTAGAAAAACGGCGGCGACCGACTGTATATACATATATGTTTATAATGCTGAAAGATGGCCAATTCTTCGTAACATTTTGCTACCATGTATACCATCGCGTGAAGAAATTAGGGTACAACATACTCCACCGTTTATCGATGTTTCAGGTATATTGCATATGATTAACGGCGTCAATAACTGATCGTTAAATGTCGAACGCATTTACGAAAACCGGCAAACTATTCTGCGAAATTATGTCTCTGATTTTTCGACACGCTTTTAAGGCAGCTCCCAGCCTGCCGCCATCATCAGGCCAGTTCACGAGCGCATTGACAAAAGCGACCCACCTAACCGAGGCCCGATTTCTTCCCACCTAGATCGCATACAAACTATTGGAAAGTCAAGAACGCAAATGGTACAGGCCTAATCTAAGAAACTGTGCGCATCGCCCGGAACACCCCTTCGTCATGCACTAGTTAGATACACAAAATGACTGGGCTTTCATGATGAACGATGGTAAACCTTCTGATTTTACCTATCTATCTTGATTTTAAGTGATCTGTATTCGAAACAATAACTGACGATAAAGTTTTTCGAGTTTAACTGAGATATAGTGTAGAAGCATGGTGGATTACATTATTCCTGAGAGTGGGTGTTCCTCTTATTCCGTGATCATATCAGACCCATACAGGAATGAATACTTGAATTTTTTGCTGAAGCATGTTACGCCCAGGAATTGATCGACCAAAATCTACGCTGACTCCGTAAAAGTGTATATACTGGTCAATGATGAGCAGCGATCGGCTGCTTCCCAGAAATCACTAAAACAGTTTTAGGAATGATCTCTAAATGTTGATTTGGAGGCCGTTGTGCCAAATGCACCGTGTTGTATTTTACGCAGCGAAATCCCGTTTAAAACAAGTGCTTTGGAGGTTATGCAAAACGACTCTGTTACAGCGGATCTTTGGGTACTTACGATCCATTCCTTAAGGTGCAGCGACCATAGCGCCAAACTGTAACAAGAAAATCGGATTAAATAGTTAGTACGTTTATTCTTAGAAGATTTTAAGCTGTATATATAACTGTACAAACAATGACCTCATTCTGATCTAACATATGCTACACTATTGTGAAGAGATAACGTTCTTCTAAAAGATGCCGAAAAAGCCTATACGACAGATTGCTCATCGTCTTAATATTAGAACACTCGACGAAGAATATGGGGATTATAGTTGAATGAAGAATGCGAAAACGATAGGAAAATGGTGATGACAAGAGAGCAGGGCGCTTCCTTGATACGGTTCGATCAAATAACCGCAGCAACGAGCATATCCGAGCAGCAGCTATAGCTGGGCGCGCAACAGTCGACAATATCTGTGCAAGACGCAATGCTTGTTACTTATATGTGACATATTTTATATTAATGCATTGAAAAATAACATGTCTTACTATACGTGTTCAGCAAGAAGGTTTAGCCTCCCTGTCGGCGTGGTCAAATCTTCAAGCATAACCGAAAAATCTACATACAAAAAGCATAACAATGGCGCGATGTCTAAATGTTTAGCAAACATGGTGGATGCTTATTGAATCCGTTGGCTAAACTGTATTCTATTTTTAGGTAGTGACTGATATAAACCTTAACTTGACCTTGTATCACTTTCCATGTTTACATTAACGGCAATTCCTGCCACTTCAACTACCATTACGTAGGTGGAACTTCAAAAGCACTAAAATACCGACCTACGCAACACGCCGAAATTAACACAGCCTTAAGGATTCCAAAGGAACAAGCAAACAGTCTAATCGAGAGGAAGTCAACCAGAAGAAAATAAGAAGTAGGCCTAGGTAATGACCCGACAATTTTCGCTTGAAAGAGATAAATAGACCTTGTTGGCCTAGTTTACTATCCTTGATTTTCCTGATAGTTCGTAATTAGTGGCAGAAACGACGTGGACAAATTATCACCTGTTATCTGGACTCGCAGCAACGTAAAACACAATCGTGTCCTGCAATACACCCGAGAGCAGTTAAGCAGGTTCTGCTTGAAGATCGCGCAGATAAAATGGAGGAGCCTGTGTCAATTAATGAGTACAATAAAAAAAAAGATGCACACGATTCGTAGCGGGGTAACACAGAAGGAGACGAAGGATACCGATGGAAAAGTGTGAATTATTTGTGAGATAGAATAACACCTGAAACCGAACAAATCGTACCCGGATGTTAAATCGAAACTCGAATGAGGTTTAGGTGCGTAAGAAGCTGCGCAAGATCGCATATAGTTGGTATCTGGAGATGTCCGATGGGATAAAAACACTCAAAGCTATTTCGGTTTCAGACAGAAGGTTATCTAAACGAACTTTTAAATAATAGATAATATAATTTGCGCAATGGCTATACATAAGCAATGACCACAGGAGAAATTGCAGCGCACTTATAGCAAATAAAGGAGTATGTTTCGAGAAATACGAACTACGACATTTTCTGTATGAAAATCATACTTGGTGTCTTGTCGACCTCTCCGTGTAAGTTAAGTAGGACATAAGTTTTACTAAAGACACGACGTTTTATAAAAGGAATGACGCTGTGTCAGAGGTTAATAAAATACGATTGGCCAACGAAGCTTCCGAAGAAGTTTTCGATGTAAGGTTCCAGGCCCAATTAATTTCCGAACGAAGACAAGTCTGGCTTAAAAGGCTATTAGACATTGCTTTGAACGATAAACTTGTTCTCCAGGGGATCAGAAAGCGATCGATTATTTTATTATTTCTAGTTTTCGAAAACAAGATTCTAAGGTAGCCAATAATTTGCTGTTATAGTGAACATAACCGTGTGTAATGTTTTATTATTTTTGTTGTGCGGAACTATTTAAATGTACGGATTAAATATAGAATATATGTTAGTATATTTAATATCGACTGTAACTGGCTGAAAACGCATCACCTTGAAGCATCCATGAATCGGAAAGTATAGCATGAAACAATTAAGATGCTTACATTTTCTTTTAGAATAGAAGCAAAAAATGTAATTAAAAAAATATTGGTCAAATCGCTATTCTGTGCTAAACTATCGATCATACTGATTCTTGTTCCGTTAGGACTGGTTTCACTCACGATCTGCTTCTTGACCTTAGGCTGTTTTAGTACCGCAAATGAACGCACGATAGACCAATCCATTGTTGTTAATTATACCCACACATGCCAATGCGTAGCCGTATAGAACTGGCAAATTTTCTCTTGCGAAAAACTTGCGGGCAACCTGTAAAAAAGATGTGCCAGAGTACAAGCAGTCGAAGAAAATAAAAAGCTCTAGAAAGAGCATAACGGGCGTATTCGGAACCACGTGACCCCCTGAGTTTCTGGGCGAAAAGAGACTTAAGATACTTTTTTCGTGTATCTAAGACAAGCCAGGGAAAGCCGGAATGGAAGATCGTCGTATGCCACAAAAAAGTATGATGACAGAGTTTAGGAGCAGGATCTGATTGAGGCCCGTCTTGTCGATTTCAATTTGCGGGTCACGTCGATCAATCCTGCTGCTGCTGCTGCTGCTGCTGCTGCTGCTGCTGCTGCTGCTGCTGCTGCTGCTGCTGCTGCTGCTGCTGCTGCTGCTGCTGCTGCTGCTGCTGCTGCTGCTGCTGCTGCTGCTGCTGCTGCTGCTGCTGCTGCTGCTGCTGCTGCTGCTGCTGCTGCTGCTGCTGCTGCTGCTGCTGCTGCTGCTGCTGCTGCTGCTGCTGCTGCTGCTGCTGCTGCTGCTGCTGCTGCTGCTGCTGCTGCTATTGTGGCCATACCCACAATTGTCGCTGTTTCGCAAATCACCTTATGGGAATAGCTTTCTTGCTCAGAAAATGTGAGTCATCGTCGCGTCAACTGTAGTGGCGGAAGGTTCTCTCGTGAACAAGTGAAACTTTCGGGCACATAATACAAGTCCGACCGCAAGTACCAGCAACCTCGAATCCTGTGTGAAACGTGGATTGTAGCGTCGTCTACGTCGTCGGCGATGTAAACTTCAAGCTATACTCCCCATGGAACGGTCTGTTCCATTGCTGTAGTAATGTACTTTGAACAAGAACTAACAGACACTACATGCTGCCATTGACCACCGTTGACCCATTGTACGGCATTTCTTTTTCGGGTCACTAGAATTGCGTTTGCGTTAAGGACAGAGACCGCAATCAACCACGACGGACACGAAGTGATCCCGGTCATTCGAGATGAGCACCGACAGGACGAAACTGTACCGACTCAACCATTGCCACAGACAGAGTTGATGGAAAGACAAAGAAAGCAACTTGGACGGGCATCTGTTAGGCTATACGAGCGTAAACTTGATCAAAGTACGATCTATGTCGATAGAGTACAGGTATTTCCTCTCCTAGGACTATATACAGTCACGCAGACTCATTACATAACACTAATCTTACACTACAATTAGTGGCTGCAAAATCCGATCGTAGAAAACATTACGTGTATCTGCTCTACTGTGCCTTTCTTTTTTTCATCTAAGCGAGATACATTTATATGGCAAAAGGTGATGCAGTACAGCAGTTGTTTTACAGCCATGCGCCGAGTAAAAGAGGACACCATCTCGCGTAGCTTGATCTATATGTACATATATATATATATTTATATACATATATACAGGGCTATGATTGCTACTGTTACGTTGGCCAATTAGGTAGACACCACGTGAGCTTAGCCAATAGGACTTCATTGACCTTTTACCATGACATTCGTGTTGCATTGAAAAAAAGAGTAAAGCTAATTATGGTATTGATTACTATTAGTGCGTAAGATATTCTCTTACATCGCGATGCTTATTAAGTTTGTCAATACACAATTTCGGCAAATTCTAAACTACGCCAGCTCGTTCATGCCCTCACCAGCTTCCTTCGTCTGTCAGCGAAGGAAGCTTATGAGGGCATGGACGAGCTGGCGTAGTTTAGGATTTTTTTTGCCTTAAGTGCTGCTAGCTTCAATCGTGCTAGCAACACTTAAAGCAGATCAGTCCTACTAAAATTTCAAAAACAAATATGGGAAAACTGGCATACTTTTAACAAACGACATTGGTTTTGGAACACAATCCAAAGCTCAAGTACCATTGCCCCTTCTCGCATCATCTGCATGCAATAGCTTGAGTTTTTTCTATCGAGCATAGATATCAGTCGGAATACGAATTATAGTCGTTCATCGAAAGAAGTCGGCTCTGAAAACATAGCAATTGTCTAAGAAGGTTGAGCTAGCTGCAGCTGCTCCATGGGGTGGCTAAGATCGCCCCGTGGGTAACCACAGCCCTACATCAAAGTATGGAACGTTTCTTAATGATAGCTTTCGGTGTAAATAGCTTGGTGTAAATCTTACCGGCAAGTATCTTTACTTGCCGGTGGGACTTTTCCATCTTGTCACACGTTTGGCCGAAATGCTACCTTTGTAAAAAATTCTTATACACGCTTTCGAGAAGATTAGATACATATTGTCCACATGTAACCTATTGTGCAAAGAATTTAGTGGATACCTTTTGCAAGTCTGTCTGTGCCTTCACGGCCGAATATGAATTTGGAATATAGCTACAGCGCGGTAAAGAGAAACAGTTACCTAAGGATTGGTGCTCGAAAAGCAACCTGTTCCTCTAGGCCAACTGAAAAAGACCCGACAGACTCACAGGAGGTACTGAAAAATAGCACGGCTTTCGCATCGACTAGTGCTTATTTTTGCATCCGATAATTATTGTCCTGTAACAAGTTATCGCGACAGCTTAGGGGGTGACGTATTTGCCTGATGACACATGTCGTGGCCTATGTTCGAACCTGGCAAAAAAGACATGTCGTTTCGTGCTAGGGCCAATCTTCTAAAGAAATATCTAATGACGATACTAGAGGAAAAACTTCAGACATCTTTAATACACAACTTCGTTCAATTTTTACTCACCCTAATTTAATACAATAAGCAAAATTGATATATCGATTCGGAGATCGTAAATTTAAAGAATGGCGTAAATAAGATAAAATCAATCGAAATGCTTCCGCTATGATCGTATTGTCGGCTCTTGCCAACAAACTGGAAGGGCACTTTGCGATAAAGTGATTTTCCTATCCACACCATTATCACACATACGATTTTCGAACTTATTCTAGAAACGTTTTTGTGCCATGAATAATACCGACATGGTTGATATTTCGTATATAGTCAATCGAAGGCAAGTTTAGGTTTTGCAAACTAACTTGAGCTGAATGGTATTTTCCTAGATGAACTCAACGACTTCATAGGCAACGTGTTCTCTACCTGTCACTTGCGTTTTTCAAAAAGAGCCATCGCTAAATAACTGTAGCGCTTAACAACTACGAGTAAATCTTTTATTATTATTTTTTTTTTTAATTTATTTATTACTTATAGAAAAATCGCCTTTTATATTAATCGAGTCGAACTGAAACGTGAATTTGTTTTTTCATTCGATACGTAATCATTCGCCATCGAACAATCGGGTCCTTTTTTGGCTTGCGGCTAACTTGTGTCGATAGCAGCGCTCAAATTGTTACAGGACAATAAATAGGTAAAATTGCAGATTGAATAGATATTCGATTGGCTGAGAAGCAGGAATGAAGCCCGCTAAGGCTGATGTACGTTGGCTAGCTAGTTTGCCCATTTTGTAGCCACAGCGAATGAAGCACGATGTGGTGTTAGCTAGCGCCATATACTCCCGACGAACGGTATCTCGGAAAAGATATGTATATATATTATAGATAAAAAAAAAAAAACTTAAAAAGGTTAATGCGAATCGAAAACATGTTTGATATCATTCAAAGGAGTCGCTTATGGATCTTTCTTATCCTTTTCTGTTCTGAATACCCGGCACGTCCCAAGCAATCGTCTACTTGGGAAGTTCTAATCTTTTTTTTTGTAAATGTTCGATCAGCTTCCTACAAATTTATGGATTTTCTCGGGACACCTTTGAGCCAGTCCCTTGGTATTCATTTGTCCCTATACGCGTGTGCAATAAGGAATCGAAGACGAGCAGTGCTCGATCGAAATTATTCATAAAGCTAAAACGGTGTGCAGCTTTGCCTGGCAGTCAATTGCTTTACCGTTCATTTATAATAAGACAAAGATCGCTGGTATAACTTTGTTATGGAAATGTCACAAATGAAACTTGAAGTTCATAGGATAAGACACGTTTCAGACAAGCAGTTTAGTATCCGCTCAAACCAGAAAAATCAATTGTATGTAATGTTAAATCAAAAGATCTAATGAAAAGATAAGCATACACTTATATATTAATCTTGTTTATCTTAATTAGTGCAATATCTAATTGTTTCAGGATGTTCTCGTGTTCTTTTTCTGCTGATAACGTTTTTCAGTTTTAAATTAGGCGTAGATAGAACTCGACTTTCTCTTCAGCTCGTAATCGGATTGTACTCTAAGAGAAACAGTGGCAAGTTCTATAGGCTATTTGAATCCGGTAATATATCGCACTTCGTTAACTTACGTAGAAGAAAATGTATTCTGCAGGAACTTCCATGGCGTTTGTTTTTACGAAGAGTTACTGTACACTTCATTACGAATACGTAAAAAAATGGGTTCGTAACAAAAAAGTATGATCGAAAAATAAAACTACAGTTAATATGGCCATTAAATAAACTGCTGAAATACCGCAAACGAATATGTAATCTCTCTCCTATCACAATAAACCTAAGATCGATTACTACATTGGCTTTCTGACATCTCTGACGTATATATGTTATGCAGCCTGTCAATTGATATATATATATATATATATGACATATCGTAAGTTAATTGTACCTATTTAGTTTCGCAGTGACTTAAATAGGGGTGCATGGAGAGGTACTTTTTTTCCCGTACAATTATTAGGTAAAATAGAACGTATTTATGTTGAATAGCAGAATTTTTACACCTCAACAATGGCCCTCCAAATGTTGCCTCCAGACACCAAGTGCGATCGATATGTGTGGGCATAGCATCTGGCCTACGAAGGTTTAATAAAACATTAACTTTTTTAATTACTAGGTACAGGTTCGTTGTGATTCAACAATTACAATATAATTCGCCTAATTTTAGAAAGGAGTACATAGGGCCTGCAAAAAAAATGTAACCAATTAATTATCACGTTGGAGATGTACAGAGAGCATATACAGTATGTGCAGATAAGAGACAAAACTTTAAACCTGTACAAAAGAATTTTAAAGAAAATACCTTATACGTCAGTTGGATAGCAGAGCGACGGGTAGCTTCGTAGGCAACAACAAACGACCCGTCGCCTCAGTGAAGTGGAATCATGTCCCTGAGCGTCGGAACATATTGCATGGGAAGCTCGTTGCGTCTACGACCCCTTTCTAGTACGTGGCAGGCCTGCAGCGAATATATCACGAGAGGTGCCATCCTTTCCCGTCCACCTCGATCTGCCCCTCTCTGCCCAAAGATCGCGTGTGATTAGCACTTACGCTGGTAGACGTGCTCCGCTTTGCCGCTTTCTCTTCCATTCACGTTTCAGGCGTCAGCCCAGCATCCAGACGACAATTAATCGTCTGGATGAACCAGTCAGTACTCAGCGATGGGCCTTTTCTCTCCCAGCTATTTGGAAAGGCTTCTCCTCCTTCCAAAAATAAGGAAAGCGGAACCGTTCACAACATCATTCGTACTACCGGCAGCATTGAGAATAAACTAGGTTTCCGTTGTAATGTTGATTAACGTCTCTATCAGTAGTCATAATACGCCCCATTCAAATCAAGGCTAACTGCTTACCTTTACATACGACGATCAATTCGTTTCATTACAAATAGATATTCTGTCTGGTTTCTGAGCCATTATAGTTGTTATCATTTGACTGTATCATGCGCATATAAGCAAATCAAGTGACGGCTAGCGCAAAAGCGACATGACCCCGTGCCGATTTTTCATACGTGCTTTGCGACAGGTATTTCCTGTTAAATCTAACGAGCCTACGTGTGTCGTGAACTTGGTAATGAGCAGGCGTTTCATCGATCATGGCAGTACTTGCTATATTATATGAGTGTTCCGATCTCAGAACATCTTTACCGCGTATTCATAAAGCTCATATAAGTACCAAGGGATACAAATTGCTACTGCTTTGGCCCGTCTGTTTCTTTTTCATATAGGCTTAACTGGTCAATATCTTCATATATAGTGAATTTGAGGAGCGATTTAAGTGTCTTCTACAGCATATTGGATCCGGATACTGGGTAGAGATATAAGAACGTATGGTCATATGAGCATAACCTTAAGCTATTTTCAGCACTGGGGAAGCATCATTTTCAAAAGCCTTTCTAGCCAATGTATATATATTGTATATTTATTGGCATCTTGATAGTTCTAGCTAACGAGGTCGGCAGGCTGTAGAACCTTAAACCTTAAAGGACCTGTATGCGACGTAGCTCTAATAGAATTAGTCAGGAAAGGTATGGGGAGCGACAAAAAATTTAAAAGAGGATAGTGAATGGAACATAAGGATACGCGGTAAAATGCACAATGTTATCGGCAAAAAAGCAAACGCGTGCGGTCGACAAAAGCTTCGTTTCGCAGATATTCAGCTCTGACTCGGAGAATGTGCATCAGTGTGAAAATCAAGCCAAATCTTGATTTTTGTACTTTTTATTTGACAGAGATATTGTACGACTGCAAACATTCTAACAACTTATACTCGTTGTATTAAATTTTAACGTATATTCCGATCAAATGCTGCCTCTCCCAGCGGATCTTATTCACGAAGCTTTTATATTTCATTGTAAATCTATATTCGAGCTCTTTTTTTTTGTAAAAAGGAGCACAAAGTCGTACAAGCACAACTAATAATAATGCACAATCAGTTTTTGTGGAATGGTGGCAGCAACCGAAATTGTTCAAAGTCTGTTTTATGTAACGGTGTTTATACCTAGTCCGACCCTTTGTCGACTAGGTAGAGCAAACAATATGGATGAAAGCTTTCGAGTCGGTTTCGAGACGAGAATAAATGTATCGTGTTTTTTCTGCGTTTATAGTGACATTGCGTTTCTTCGAGCATTGAACTTTCATACAACTTGCAATGCTCGTATCCAGTATTATGCACAGAAAGATCAATTTTGCTGCAAATTTGCAACTATATGTGTTATCACCGATGTACTGATTGTAATGTTGGAAGAACATTTACTATGGTAACTTGCGCCAATTCTGTAGCCACAGATAAGTTCAATGTTTCGAATTTCACGTCGGCTACTGCCATTAAACACTTCATGGAACGTAAAACTTGAAACATTCAGTTTAGTCTTTTCTAATGTACGCAGATCACTTTAGAGTATTCAAACGCTGCCCCCAAATTTTTCAAAACAAACGACGATATAATGTGCCGTTTTTCATTTGTATAATGTACAATGTCAACTGGGGTCGGCCATCAGCCGTTAATCATTGTTTGCGTCCCACTTTTATTGAATTGTTTTGTACCGAGAGAGGAAACTCAGCTGTCTTTTACTGCGAAAGAAGATTTTTAATGCGTTGCTGTGCTCTCGCCTATTGACATGGTACTATCCGAAACAGTTGATCTTGGTCCGCCGAGAATACTACTAAACCCATTCTCAATTTATTGTAAGCATCCGCTAGGCCTTCAATGTCAAAAAGCCTTTCAAGGTGCCTTCTTTATCAGCATATCTGTTTTTAACAATACTAAATCTATTGCAAATGTAAAACGTATGTGTGTTTCTGTAGCCCCTTTAAGCTTCACATTTGTCAGTCTATTCCCTCTTGGTCGAAACACATGGGACTCTGCCAGCGTTCGAATGGTATCATACTCCTAGACTAATTCGTAGTGCATGCATATGTACGACGCAGTTTTTTCTTATACGGAACAGGTACTTCTGGAAACTTCCACGACCGGTAATAAGCTGTGTGAGCAAGTTGAAGAGCTTCCCTTCTAGTCTCTCTAAAGCTCTTTAATATTAATGCTGTGATACCTGACGATGGTCTAGAGAACCCTCAGAAGGTTTTCTGTTCCTTCTGCCAGACGCGCACGAATGCCTCCCGTACATCATCTGCAGGATCTTTCCATGCAGTCGTCGCTCTCACACCTTAATTTCCCGAATATCGAGGCACCTAGTACTAGAACTGCTTACATGCTAACTGTCTTTTAGGTCTGGGTTATCTACACTGCACTGCTTATGAAAACCATTCCAGGGAGAATTTTCATAACCGGTGCAGCCGTCCCGAGATTCGTCTAAATAAGGCTCCTAAATAGTATTTTTGATTCAACTATAGATATTGGAAACGTTTGCCTTCTTTTTCTTGCCCTATAAAAATTAGTCATTAGCCTGCTAATCTGTACAACTCAAACGTATTCTAATGCGCGTAATGACAGTTATATTTAGTCTGGCCGTAATAACAAAAAATAGAAGACTCCTCCAGAGAGTCTGAGAGCCGCTTTTTGTATTTGCAGCGTACGTCTAAGATGGAACGTTACTGTCTATTCTAGTGAAATTCACTAAATACAAATTCATAGTTTAGAGCAAGTGATATCATATAGTTTAAGGGTGGTAAAAGGCATATGCCTAATTGTCAGCTCCTGGAACATGGCCGGAGAGATTTAGTCTATTACTCCATCATTATGTTTGGCTTAAGAAAAAAACTTCACGCTAAAAACTTAATACCTAATAAATTAGATTCAAAAATACAACTAACTATATAGTCTAACGATACCCCAACCCTTCCCCTGTGTGTACTATGTAGTGAAATTTTCGCGTATTTGAATTAACGAAATGTCGTCGGCTTAGATACAGCGCAAGATTAGTTGCTAGTAATCCTAAAAGCTGTATAAACATTACTAGCTACAATCGTACATATGACCGTCTAGTACATCTGTCTTACGGAGCTGAGGCTGTTTTTATATGTCATGCAGCAAAATTAGAGTTTTATAATGAAGCAACCTCTTTTTCACGATCGTTAGCCTTTTTCGATCCGTAGAAAGACGTCTTCGATATTGTGACTTGACTCTCCGTTATTTTTTTCATGGTTCAACTGTATCCGACACTGGGAATACGTAACGGGACTAACGACGTTGCACGGGAATATTGTATGTGATATTAAAGATCTTAGTTAGTAAGAAAAGGCCAAGCGAAAAAAGTCACTGCAGCAGGCAAATTACTTGCTAATATAGAAGAATTAGGCCCTCACACTTGTCGGCTTGCAGAACTCGGCAACACGGTTATCGTAAACCCGAGCAAATTGCGTCATACATAAAAGACTCGATTGTCAACAATTAAAAACTGATCCCGTTGGGAAGATTCATCACGTTCAGAGCTGTCTGACACCCGCGTAAACGAAGACCAAACTCCATCGTGTGGAGTGCGTTATTCATTCAAGAGTGATCCAATAAAAGTATTGCTATTATGCTATGCTGATAAACGCAAGCGAGTTACTTATTACGGGTAGTAGAACTTGATAGATATATAGCAAATCTAGATGCGTAAAGGCTTAGGGTTTATGCACCTTGACGTAAGCTCATCAACCGAGAATTCTTCAATTAACTCAGTAAAAAAATAAAATAAATAAATAAAATAGCTTCAGAAAACGTATTCAAAGGTATATCTATAGTCATGGTAATTACACGTTCATTTTGCTCAATTTTTCGAAAAATTTCGAAAAATACTACTATTTATTGCCCTTTCTACGGTATTACTGCAGTATATATCGCATACATTCAGGGTGTATTTAACATGTAACGCCGGCCGAGCTAACAGGTTTGCCTTGTAACTGTCTAGTGGCTATGACTATTCAACTCATCTTATCCATAACCTTTTTAATAAATTTATAAGGGAAAAAGATGTATCCAGCATAGTTAATATCATTATGTTTTCTTCGCCCCTTTCTAAAGACGGACAGGTGTTGCCGTCTTTACTGCTTCTCGCTGCTTTCCTCTTTTTCTCGACGCCCTAAAAATTCAACTGTGTAAAAGCGTGCTTTGTTGTCCGTACTGATGTTTACTCATTTTTTTGGTCCGCTATGCACACAGCTATGCGCCTCCTAGCCAGCCTATTTGTACAGTAATTCTACACAAAGCAATTCAGAAACGACGACGGAGCTAACTGTGGTGAAGCAGGCCAACCAGTTACTTAGTAAAGGTGACTGGGCCGGCTGCTTCCTACACTCGAAGCGCACTTTGTGTCCGACATAGGCGCTTCCAGCACAGAAGAGAGAAGACAAACTCAGGCAGTCCGCATAGACGAGAGGCCGGTGATTGCGATAGCTCTAGAGCGTATAGAGGACGCACGAACGATCTAGAGTTCCGAAAGGGAGAAAAGGGAAAGGCCTTTCAACAGTGAAAGAACTCGTAGAGGCAGGGAACAAACTGATGCAGAATGGCGCCGCTTTCTGTCTGCATTTC